AGCAGGAACGGAAGGGCCAAAGGCACTAAGCAGATTTGGAATTCTCGTGGTTTCCAGCCCATGACACCAGTTGGGATGTCTGTTTTATTTCAGTGCAGCTATTTCAGGAACTTTTTTTTTGTTTGTTTCTTCCTGTCCATCAGCTCTTGGGGAGATTTCTTACTGGATGCAATTCCTGGCCTGGTGTTTGACACAGCAAAAGGTGACGTGGCGCTGTGGACGAGCATCCCGAGGCAACTGCTGATGGTAGGTAGGTGGGACTGAGGGAATAATGGTGCAACCTGGTGGAACTTCAGCACTTGATCTGCTCTGAAGTCTCAGTGCAAAGGCACTGCCTTGTCTAGCAGCCCAGCCACTTCTTTTGAAGTCTTCAGGATGACTCTTCTGAGGTTGGCTCCATCTCAGGCATTGCCTAATTTATTACACTGCTTTTCTTTCCTATCACAGTGTCCTTGTCTGGCTTTTTTCCTCCTAAAAGTAATGCTCTTTGCTTGGGATCTGTCAGACAGGCATAATTCCTCTGAGGCCAAGCTTTTCAGTCTTTAAAAGTTAGTGGATATGTAAATTGTTGTGTGACCTCTTTATGGTGATCCTGTCGTGCTGATCAGCTCCAGGAGGAACAAGTGTCTCTTCAACTGCATTTGCTTGTCCTGTAGCATTGCAGTAGCCCCAGAGCAAGGGAAAGTGAGCTTTCATGGGGAATGTGTAAAACAAACAAAGGTGGTTGTTTTGGGACTAAGTGTTAACCTTGCAAAGATAAAAGAGGAGTGTCCAGAGTTTGACAGCATTTCTGTACTGGCTTAGGCCTGGTCTGTGCAGCTTGAATTCATGTGTGGATATTTAGCAGGTGAATACAGCTGACTCCACCAAAAAGCTGAGCAGCCTTTTGAGGAGGCTTGCAGACCACCTGGACCCCCCCAGGGAACTGAGGTCATCTGACATGAAGAAGGACTTCATTATGCACCGGCTGCCGCCTTGCTTGGGATGTGACTCCGATTCCTTGACTCCAGGTGGGTTTGGAAGTTACTAAAACTGGCTGATGCCATGGCAGAGCTGTTGCTAACTCTGCTCCTCTTGGGACTGTTAGTATTTTATGGTAGGCAAAGATCACAGTCCAGCATCAGCTTCATGTGTCGTGAGGCCCCACGGGTGTGTTTGCTCCCCGTGTCTAGTGGGAGAGATGACACTGCCTTAGAGTGGAATAAAGATTATCCTAGACTGGAACTGGCAGCTGTGATAAACTGTATCCCGAGAGCATTTAACTGGTAGCAGTTTTCCCTGGGCTCTAGCTTGCTATTTATTATAGTTACTTGCAGACAGGAAAGGGGAGAGAATTAAAAAATCTCTTTCTCCTTGCCCCCTCCACAACAAGTTTGAGGACATGTGGGTGTTGAAACATAGCTTAACAAACAGTCCAGCCTTGAGAGAGTGGGGAGAGCACAGGGGGGCTCAGTTCAACCATTTATCTGGTTTTCTTCCTTTCTAAGGAGGATTTATTTTTCTTAGGTGGGAAATTGCCAAAAATAGACAGCAAAATCAGACTGCAGCTCAGAGATCACACTCTCATCTCCGTGGAACCAGATCAAGAGAATGCTGTGGGTACAGTGAAGCCACCTCTGTACATTTGGGGTGGGCTGGGGAGTGCATGTGAGGCATGTGAGTTGTTGCTCTCCTGTGCCAAAGGTCTATAAGGGTCATGCAGTTACACTGAGCTGGATCCTGCATCCCATTAGGGTTTGTTAGGATACTGTGGGGTTGTTTGTTGAGTGATATGGCACATTCCAACCTTCTGGAGGGGGGGCTTCCAAACTAAATTCAGCCTATGATTCTGTATGGGAGGTACATGGCTTTTGTCTCAGGTTTGATGGGGTAGATCATTACAGCAGCTAAATGGCCTCTACAGGTCTTGATAATAGGGTTTTTTTCTATTCTTTTTATTTAAGAACAGGAATAATTTATAAAAATAGGTTTTCTCAAGAGAGGGAATTCTGCTGGTTGCAGCTGCTGCTGTGGCTGCATTTAGTCTTCACTTCTGGGTTATCTCTGTATCCAAGCAGGTGCCAGGGGCACTACTAAGTTGTTCCACAACACTGATACATGCATCTTGCATTATGCTGTGTTTATACTGCTTCTTATCCATGAAGGTTTTTTAGTATGAAATTGTAGAAGTGCTTTTTATCTCACTTTAAAAAAAAAAAAAAGGGGGCACACAGCAAAGATTATCTTGTACAGTTTGGGGTTTGTTTGGATGAATTGAATGTTTCCCAAGAAAAACACACCATAACTTTCTGAGTTTTTCCTCCATTTTGCTTGTGTCCATATTGAGACTGTGTAGGTTTTGGAGACTTTTTCCCCCCAGTTTTTGGGCCACCTTGCCTTCTGATGTCACACAGATCAACCCAGGATGACAGGACACATGGAAGACTTGTGTCCACAAATTCCATGTGCAACCTGCCCAGAGAGCTCTGAATTGCTTTGCACAGCTCTGACCAAGGACTGATGATGGGCATGTGATTTTTAAGAAACAGATCAGTATCAGACTGGAAATGTGTTGATGCACACCTGTTCATTAATGCTTTCCCTTAAATGGCCTGTTTTCTGTACAGCATCACTCCTGGGACTCTAGCAGGGGCAGTTTTAAGGCAGAAGATGATTGTAAATAAATTTTCAGAGGTGTTTTGGAGAGTCCCTTATTGCTGTCGGAGGTGGCTGTTGGAAAATTCATCTGGGAGGGTGACTTGCATGCTTTGTTGTAAGAGTGACTCCAGAATTCAGGAGCATTGGCAAGTGCAGTGAGATGAGTGTGAGGCTGTGGATCACATGTAACTGTTTCCTCCCTGCTGTCTTTTAGGATGAAATTCGCAGGGAGATGGTTTATGTGTATCATTCCTTAAGGAACAGGAGAGACACTCACATGATGGGGACAGATGACACTGCCAGTGAGGATGGCACGGCCCAGGTTTGTTCCTGCAGACCCAGCAAAAATTATCTTTCCATGGTGGGTTTTGCTGCATGAGATGAGCTTGCCCAAAATGGCAGCAGGGCCTGGGTTCTGCCGTGATCCTCAGCACCCAGAGCCTTTCTGCCCAGCCCTGCAGTGCCCAGATGAGCTGAGGCTGCAGCACAGAGGCAGTTTAACAGTGGAACTGAGTAATGTGATCTCATGCTTCATTAAACACTCGAGATGTTGACAGGATTTCTGGTGCATGCCTTATGGCCCAGTGAGCAAAGCTACTGGAGCAACTAAAACCAGCTCTTCCTGGTGTGTCCTTAGCACATCCTCTACTGAGGCTACTGGATAGGCCAGCAGATATTCCCTAGGGATCACTGCCATGCTAAACCCATGATAGATTCTGTATCCAATGGAACACACTGCAGGGGTGTTCATTTTAGGGTAGGGTGGGTCAGCACTGTGAGTAAAGACCTACTGTAACAGTTCGTTTGGATACATGTTCGGAATAAAGACAAGTGCCAGAAATATTCAAACACACAAACTATCTTTTATTACAGTGAGAATAATAAAAATAGTAATAAACTTAGCAAGAGGAATCAAAAACCAAAAAAAAAAAAGATACAAAATAACTACCTTATCGGTTGACATTAAAACAAATACTACAAACAGCTTTTAATACAGTATTAACTAGTGAAAAGAAAAGGGGGTTAAAGGGATACCAAAAAAGGGATCCTAACACAATATAACACAATATTATGGATAACTATTAACACAATATTGGTTAGTTAAAAGGGAAATTAAAGGGAACTATTATGAACAACTTATTTATGTAACAATATTCAATAATAAAAAGGGGAATTAGAGGAACACTAAAAGGATATTAAAAAGAAAAAGTTTGTTCTCTCAGTTGCTTCCTCTCAATAAACTGTGCTCACCCACACAGACAGGCCAGGGCTGCCAGGATCTGCAGCAGCTGGTCGGTGCCCGTGCTTAGCGGGCGTCCCCATGGAACAACACAGTCTCCATGGTAGGATGAGGATCACTCAACCCAGCAGTCCTGACACCCCATTTCATCAGCTCTACATTACACCACGTAGGGCCAGTACCCAGTATAAGGTGATGCCTGAGTGGCAGCCAAACCTCGCCTGTTCATCACCTGAGAGCAACAGTCTGTGCCTGCCCTACTGTAGGGCAAGGGGTGAGTGACCCCTGCCCACAGAATCTTCCTCCCATCATCATCTTTCTCACCCCTATGTATGACCTCTACCATTGTGTTTCAAGGGTAGATGTATCTATCTTGCAGTATGTAGCAAAACCAAGGAAGAACTCAGCTCTGATAATAGGGGATATCAGGCTGACTTGCTAAAAAGCACAATGGACCTTACAATTAGCCTGTGCCATGAAGTTACATTGTACCATACTCTAGCTGGTTTCACATCCTAATATGATTCCTTTCTCACGCCTCTATGCTTCATTGATCATCCAATTCAAAAGTACCCCCCTTACACATTGTCGTTTCAAAGGTCAGTTACTGTGGCAACCATCATACATTCCCGTTGCTACAGTCAGTTACCATGGCAACCATCATACATTCCCATTGCTATGGTCTGTTACCATGGCAACCATCATACATTCCCATTGCTATGGTCTGTTACCATGGCAACCATCATACATTTCCATTGCTATGGTTGGTTCTGTGGCAACGATCACACATTCCCATTGTTTTAGTCAGTTACCATGGCAACCATCATGCATTGTCCTTGCTACAATCAGTTACCATAGCAACCATCACAGATTTCCATTGCTTTGGTCTGTTACCGTGGCAACCATCATACATTCCATTTGCCAGGGTCAGTTACCATGGCAACCATCACACAGTCTTATTGCTATGGTCGGTTACCATGGCAACCATCATACATTTCCATTCCTATGCTCAGTTCCCATGGCAACCACCTTAACTCTCACTGGTACAGTCAGTTACCATGGCAACCATCATACATTCTTATTACTCTAGTCAGTTACCATGGCAAGCACCATACATTCTCATAGCTATGGTCAGTTACTATGGTAACCTCTTGGTTCCTCTTGGACAGAAGCAGATGCAGATGCAGCCTCCCTGTTGTCCACCAACCTGCCAGCTGTGCTCTAAAGGCCTGTGTCCCAAGGGCTGTCTTGACCCAGACCCTGCACAAACCTCTGGGACTCTGCATCCTGTTGTGGTGCTTTTCCAGTGAATTCCAGGGTTATCAAAGACAACTTGAATGGGCTCTTTGTCTCACACCACAATGTCACCCAAACCAGTCTCTTCTCTGAACCCTCACCCACAAAAGTTCACCCAATTTCTTCATCCCCTAGAGCAGCTCCACAGCTCCAAGAAGCTCCTTCCCGCTGAGGACACCTCTCTCCTGCTCTTTCTCACCTGTGTCTCCTTGGCCTTCTCTCCCAACCCATCACAGCCCTGCAACCTGGGAACTGTCTCAGCAGGCCTGGGTTGTTATTGCCTCCAGGTGGAAGGAAGAGAGACTTGGGGCTGCAGCTCCTCCTGCCTGTGCCCCACACGCAGGGCATTGGGGCCTGTCTGGTTGCAGCCCCTCAGCGGGGGCACCGGGGTAAGAACAGACTTGCAGTGGGGAAAGCTGCTCTGAAAGCCCCCAGAGCTGGGCTGTGCAGAGGCTTTGCTGACAATGGCCTTGGGGGTGGACGTGCTGGGACTCAGGCCCAGGGGGAAAATCCCAGGCCTGATCCCTGAGGAGATCAGCACATGCTGCTGAAATGCTGGGGGAGAGCAGAGCCAGCAGAGGGAGGAAACAAGTGTGGACAGCCTGGGCTGATGTGCTTTGGACTTGTGCCTGGCCTGGCCTTGGCCGGGCAGAGAAGGGACAGCCTTTGTGTCCCTGCAGGGCTGGGATTCACTCCCTGCCCCAAAGGCACCCAATGGGTCTGAGGAGCCCTGGGTTGTGCCTGTCCCACAACTGCTGGGAATGGGGACGGGGTCCCTGCACAGGCCCTGTGCTGTCCAGGGCAGCTGCTGCACTTGTGCTGCAGAGCCCTGGCACCTCCCCTGGCACTACAGGCCCCTCTTTGGCTGTTCAATCCAGGCTCAGCTGCC